ATTTGTTACAATGTGGAAAGTAAAGCTCATCCCAAGGCAAAAGTCTGTTGTCTTTTAAGCTGGTAGGACTACCAAAATTATCAGGATTGCACTGGTATAACAGAGAAAAGAATGGCATCCTTTCTGGTAAATCAATCGGAAAGTAACACCAGCTAGATACAAGGCTACATTGACCATTTTTCCCTTGCTGAAACCTCCCAGGAAACCCCAAGTGTTTGCTGTAAACTAAACAGCATTTCAGTATCACACACTAGTCTTTATAAATGACTTCCACTTCCCACCAATTACTTCCTCTTTCATACCATTCATTTTTTGCATTTCCTCTAATTTTTGTTCTCTTAATCTTTATTAATGTAATGGGTTTTAGACAGAAACATTATTTGTGTTCATACTTATTGAAAATGTCTCTGCTGCCTTGTGAAACACAGCTGAAAGAAACCTTAATTTGGTAAGAATTATTGTTTTGCAAAATGAGTATTGTTACATTAGCTGAGCACTGTATTTAAATTGCTTTTTGTTACAATAGGTCTCACTTGGACTATTTGGATAGTTCAGTACTGTACATGGTAAGGTAGAATTGCACTAATAAAATCAAGCTGCAAGTACATTTCATCTGCCATTTGGTACTTTCAGTGCTTCATAACTAACTATGGTCAAAAATTACCCCTTCAAGCCCAAGGGATTAATTCTCCCTTAACTATAGTTGTGCATTACAGGAAAAACAGTCATCCCTTGGTTTCCTGGCCTTGGATGAGCGGTTTAGTGCATTTTTAACCTACAATAATTGTGGATGGATTCCAGGTGTGTGCTTGCCCCTCATGGAGTGAATTTCATGCTGTCTGATTTCTTTTTATTTAACTCTGGGAACAGAAATGCCCTAAACCAGGTTTCTTCGCTCTAGGTGCCTCTGCCCAGCATGACCTGGCCATCAGGGAGGCACCTACGCTAGTTCTGCGCCCAGGGACCTGCTCCCACCAGGAGCCCAGGATGGATACTAATACACAGCACCCATCCAGCGTACACCCTCCCAGCTTCCAGCACGTAGCAGTTTAACAATATCCTCCTGATAATTTTTCTTATATTGGATCACCCACTTTTTAATCCCCTCCCCCTAAATTATTTTCCTTCTTCCTTACTCATTGGCTAGTCTAGCCCTTACCCCTCGCCTTGGAGGATATGTCAGTGGCAATGAAAGCGCTGACCTTGTTGGCCTCCTTGGCATATATTTGCGTTTTGGAAGAAGATAAATTGAGGAAGGCAGATGATTCCTGCCAGTGTCAAGGAGAGGCTCTCAAGACAGGCTCTTACCAAGTTACCTGGGTGCTACTAAAACAATCCAGTGAGAAAAGGTCATCTTGAATTCAACTTTTATACATAGGCAATCACATTACCATATGTCAAAGACACCAACCTGCATTAAAAAGAGTCAGTGCAGATGAGTACAAATATTTCAATGTCCAAACAAATTTCCCAAGCCCTCCCCCTAAACTATTTTGGGATGATATTGAATGGCAATGTTAAACATTCCAAGAATTTGAAAATAATTTGAATGTTTGCTTTCCTTTTTACTGTTTTTGACCAGTTTAGAACCCAATGAACAACTACCAAAACTTTCAAGAGTCTAAAATTACTTTAAATAAGTTAAAACATGGAAATGTTCACAGAAGTGTATCAAATAGTTTTTCAACCATCTCTAGTTCTTAGATCGTTATTAAAGAATATTCTGGATCCCAAATAGGAAACATGAACCGTTAATAACACCCTGCACTAAACAAGACATTTATGAGCTCTGGCATTCCTACTACAACCAATACTGAATAGGATTGTTTTAGGGCACATGAGTCTGTCTGCAGCACGGGAGAGCATCTCCTCAGAAGACTCAGCAGCAAAGTCCAGACCTGGTTCAAACAAGCACCAAACCAATTCTTACAGCCTTGTGATGGGCTTAGCATGTAAGGAAAAAGCTACACACATATTGCCACCTGCATTTTCTCCATCTAAACCATTACAAACAAAAGTGTTTTAAAAAGAGCACTCAGAAAAGAGGACCACACCCTGTCTGTTCTCCAGGATGGTGACCACCTTGTAGAGCGGCCGGTTACTAATAAATGAATTAGGCTATATGAACTGAAGACCATTCATCAGCTAAACGGGGACAGAAAGTCTGTTGAGAATGTGTGTGCTGTTGCTTGGAGCGAGTCAGTCTTCGTGACACATGGGCATGACTGAAGGCCTTTGGGAGATGGGAGGAAAAGAAGGAAAGAAACAGAGATGACTGGCACGATGGCATACTGCCTATCCTGCCAGGGAAATCAGTCTGTCTGTTAAGGAGAGGAGGAAGGGAAAGAAGACATACAGATGGTCTGACTCTCAGTGGTGACAGGAGCAGTTGGTCTCCTCTCTTTCCGATAGTGACAGTCGCTGTCACCTTATTTTGAAGTCTCCTAACGAAAAAGTGGGAGTCAGTATGGTACTGAAAAGAGCAAATGGATAAATCAGGTAACTAATCATAACCATTTGGTCTAGGAAGAGCGATGGAGGTTGGTGGCACCTGGTGACAGCCTGCAATAGCTGAATGTGCACTTTCCCACCCCGAGAACTTCAGCCTAAGGAAGAAAGAAAGTTTGCACTATTTATTAGAGAAAAAGGTCTTTTAGAGTCAAGCCAGCTACTGAGTGCATGTTTACAATGCTGCTTTCCTAGCAATGTATGACAGCTCGGGACTCATAGGCTGCCATCTCATTCAGTCCCATTTCACTGCAGCATCTTTTTAAATAGGCCAAAAGGACACCTTATGCACACACTCTGCTATCAAAATAGGAAGGGACCAAAAAATGTCCCCCCAGAGTAAGATTATTTTCTCTATTAACTCTGTACTGCACCCAAAAGGCACCATTTTACCGAAGCAGCAGCCAGTGCTCCAACATGTAGAGAGAGAGATGGATGGTTCTCGGTTTGAGGAGGAATAGAGCATTTGCTCTTGGGAAACCTTGCTTTTTCTACACAGTACCACCATTGGCTCTTTTCTTCTCAGGGTGGTGGGAAAAACATTTATTTTTGCCAAAATGAAATTTTCAGAAGCACACAAAATGTTTTAGGACCCTGTGGGACATTTGTTTTTCAAAGTAAATCCTATTCAATGATTTTCCCTTAAAAAAAGAAAAGAAAAAGAAAAAGAAAAAAACCCCACCAGATTTTTGGAGGATTTTTTTTAGCCAGTCCACTAATTTCAAAGGAAGTCAGTTATCTAACAGCTTTCTACATAAAAGAAGTGAAATAACAACTTGAATTTAAAGCAGATCAAATATACTGAATCAACCCCTCCCATGGATACTGCCATTAATTTATTTCAATTTCATTTAGCTTAATTCTCTTTGGAACAGAAGCATACTCAATCAGATTAAGGCCATTTTAATTCACATTTGTCCCCTGTAATATGACACCCTACACTTATTTGGATTAAATTCCCCTCTCATGTTTAGAAAAGTCCTAAGTAACCACAAACTTGGACCTAAATCTTGCATCTCTTTTGCACTAATGAAAATGGGACCTGGTTTTGTAAGTTACTTAGATGCTATTGGATATTTTAACCACGATCTTGCTTTTTTTTTTTTTTTTCCTGAAAATTTCAGCAAACATGGGCTGTGCCAGAAAGTCTTTGTCACCTGAACCTCACCTACAAATCCACCCACCCGCTGACTGCTTTGTTTGCTTGCTCGGCCTGGAGAAACGGAGGGTACGTGTGCTCTGCACCGCCGCACCCTGCCCTCCTGGAGCTCCTTCCTCCACAGCAGACCCTGGAGCTGCATGTCAGGCTGAGCAAAGACCGTTTCCTCTTTTTTTAAAGGAAGTATACCAAGATTGGGAAAACCACAAGGCAGGGTTAAAGTCACTGCGTGGAGAAAGAGAACAAACTTTCATAACAAACTGAATCACACCACCACTGCACTTCCTGTCTGACATATGATCCCCATAGTGCAAAATGGGAACAATTAGAGCGTTTCCAGAGAGAAACTGAAAGATAGCGATAGATCCAAGGGAAGGCAACCAGGATATTCTTCATCTTCCACGGTGATCTAGCTAGGCCATAACTATCCCTGGTATCAGAGCAGAGAGAGTTAATGAGAGGTCCTCTCCCATCTTGGTGCATCTGCAGTAAATCTGCAGCGCTCCTGGACAACTTCAGCTGTCTGAAGATTGCTTCATCCCCAGCAGTTTACAGGAAAGGAGAGTTTTCAACCCAAGACCTAAGGACAAGATGTCCTGGAGATTTTTTCACCTTTTCCCTCTCTCTCTTTTTCTAAGGAAGGATAATTGGAGCATTGATGGCAAACCCCAACAGCCCTCTTGGTCAGAAGTTATCAGGAGATTCAGTCAATAATTAATTGGGCCATATGATTAGTCTCTTTTCAGAGACTAGTCATCCAAACTAACCTGTAGTGCCACACTTTTTTTTTTTAATATAAAATAAATATAATGCCCAGCATTAGCTTGAGGGCAAAGCTGGTTCTCAGGAGATGTGCTGTTTATTCCCTCCTGATACACTGCTGTCAGCAAGAGGCATCTCTGCAAGTGTCAGGAGTTACATGCATGCACAGCTAGACTCTGTGTAGGTCAGGGAGGGTTTGCATTTCTGCAAGACAGATAATGCTGTAGAGCTTTATCCTTCCTGCTGCTACTCCCTGTAATTCAGCACAGACTCCAGTACCTGCCTGCACAACCAGGAAAAGATTTCCCTATTTCTTTCCAAAGGCTGAGCCCAGGGTAAGCAGAGCATGTTACAGAGGAGAAACTATGCTCTCATGACCCGTGATTGCCTTTAGCTCGGTCATACTACATGCAAACACAGCAGGTCCCTTCTCTTCCATGGCATCCCCTCGGTGATGCCTTCCAAAGCGAACCCCCAAGCTCTTATGCAAAAGCAGAAACGATGCCCAGCAGTACGCACAACTCCAACAAGGCGCCACTGAGTTACCGTTAAACCATATTCCAAAGTTTACCTTAGTTCCTTGAAGGGGTCTGCCCTGACATTGGGAGTTTCTATAGATTTAGGGAACACTGTGCCTTCTGCTCCTGAAATCACAAAACAAAACAGAAGACAAATTGTAAACATTATAAGCTGTTATCGGGAGTGATTGTCAAATCATACCTAGGTGCAATTTAACCCGTCGCCTGCCCCCATTTCTCTCTTGCACACATCCCTTCTGTCCCCAGGAAAAGCCAGACCTTGATCATCTGAAATTGGTTGCCTTGATTGCAACCGGGATTTGCCTGTAAACTGCACTTCTGGCTGTAAAAGCAGCTGCTTGCGCCCTGACTGTAGGAAGTGTTTGCTAACCCAACTGATGCAGGGAGCTTGGAATAGATACCCCCTTGGTAACCAGGCATCTAATCCAGCTACATCCCTCACTAATGAACCCGGATGCATGTCATGAAATTATTTATTTTGCTGGGCTCTGAGAGATACTCAAAGGAGAAAACCAAATTTTGGGTCAATCACTGCAAACGTCTCTCAGGTCAGGCTGTGCTCCTGCCTGGGGAAAAGGAGGGAGGTGTCCACCTGATGAAATGCAGTACAAGCAGGCAGCAGGCTCTGCTCTAGTCCCAGCCCAGCCACCGGTTTGAAGTGTGACCCAGAAGTCATTTAACTTCTGCTCACTTCCCCCTTCTCTTAGAGACGGTGGGGAAGGCAGCACTATCCTCATTTGTTGAGTGTTTTTAGATCGTGAGCTGTAAACTGCTAGGCAACATGAACAGCTTTCCTAAGTTTCAGGCCACTGCAATCCTCTTACGTGACCACCTGCATAGCCCAGGTTGGGCCATTTCACCCAGCCATCCCTGCATTGGGTCCGTATTTGTGACCGAGCCATGCTGTGTCTCTCTAGAAAGATGTGCTCTCCCAGTTTCATTATTTTAAGACAAAGACAGCCCATGCCATCCTCTGGTAAGCCCGTCCGCTAATTGTTCTAATTTAAAAATGTGCATCTAATCTGAATTGGTCTCACTTCAGCTTTCAGCCACTGAAGGTTCTCGTGCCCTCGCGTGCCAGCCAATTGGCCCTGCGTGAGCAGACCCTCCACCTTCTGTAGGTAGTTACCGACGGTGACCCAACCACCCCAACCGCCTCTTTTATTCTCTGAAAAGTTACAGCTTTCTGAATCATTCACTGTGAAGCAGATTTTCTGGACTTCTCATTGCTCTTTTCTGAACTCATTCCACTTTTAAAATACTCTGTTGGGGCACAGGAGTCCCCAAGTGCTGTCACTGATGCTCTGTGCTGCAGAACGTCACTTTCTCGCTCCCCTTGAAACTTCCAATTGAAACACAGCTAAGACGGGTATTAACTGCCTTACACACGGCAGTGCACTAGAAATTAATGTTCATGTTCTCTAACATATAGCTACCTACCCAGTGAGCAAATATGACCTATATTCCTAAATCTAGACCTGTGGTCTTGTGTTCAGATGCATTGTGAACAATTAGTCATTCATTATCTGTATTCATCAGGGCAATTTCAGTGTCAGCATGCAAACAGCACCAGTGGCATTTTTTTTTTCCGTAAGTTTTTCTTTGATAAAGCTATTGGTGCAAACTACAGATCCTGATGAGACCTTTTACATATACTGTTTGAGATCTCTCTTAACACGAGCTATCATAATTGTTACCTATGTGCAGTCTGGAAGTCACCACTATAGAATAAAAAAATGTTCTAAGATGATGCAAAACATGTTCACACAACATCCTTCTGTAACTTCTGCTATAAGTGAGAAACACCTGTGGCTTCAATAAGACTACACTTTCTTTGCACTGAAATAAATTAAAACTAAGCTGTCCCACTGTGTTAAAGAAAAAAAATCAGAATGAAAATAAGCATTCTTAACATTTATAAAAAAACCCCACTCCTTTTTAACCTAGAGAAAAACAAAGTAATCTCAAAGATGATAAAAGCAGTCTAAAGTTTGAAGCTTTATACTTGGGAATTGAAATTGATCCTATGACACAATACAGATATATAGCTCTTAACTTTACTATAAGCCTTCATCATTACAAGTTGTCAAAAGCAGCTGTAACTTGCCAGCCATGAAGGTTATTATTATCAGATCCGTCCTCTCTCAACAGTTTACAAATGATTTAAGTCTCTGCTTACCCACACAATTGCCTTGGCTACTAGCTTTGCAATAAAACTTAGCAAAAGTCGCAGCCTGCACATATCTACACAATAAAACCCTTTCCACCTGTATTGCTTAAATGGTGACTTTATGCTGGTAATTTGAATTCATTTTTACCCACTTTGTCAGCTACTTAAGTTATGCAAAGCCCAAAATAACGATCTGCACGTAACCAGAAATGCTGCAGAATAAGGAGAAACTTTAGCATATTTCTAACGACCTGGGGTTTTCCAGGATTTCATTATTTAATTTCAATGCAGGAAGCAACTTTGGAAACAAAGCCAGCGAAGACTCCAATGCAGTCAATTCAGAAAGGCTGAAAGTAAAAAAGCCTGCTATTCCTTTCCTCCATCTCCTTGTTTTCCTTTCCCTACACACAGTTCTTAAACCCTCTTTTCCTGTCTTCTTTATTCCCAGATCCATGGAAGAGTCCCTTATGCACTGGGAACAGGAATGAGATTTCCATATCCTTCTGTTTCTCTCCTTTGATATGAATTAGAAGTGGATGCTACCTGCCTTGATAAGGCTTCCTGCCTTGAAAATATAATTTCTTATTATTCTGTTTTAAGAACACAAGATCTCCCAAAGGGCCACCTGTCCCTGTCACTGAGTAGGACATCAGCCACGAGGGGATGCCTCGGGACCGGGACCGAGACATCCCTCCCCTGACATTGGCTGTCAGCAGCTGAGGGACTCCTTGAGCTGGCCGTGTCATCCAGGCATTGGAGAGACACTGATAAGCTTTCCTCACCTCACCTAATCATCATTTTAAGTGTCCCCATTTCTGTGCAGGGGGCTCACAGATGAATTACTCTGGATAAGTTCTTTTGGTTTCAACCTGCTGCCTCATGATTTCACTGGATGCTTGTTCTGCCTTGGACTGCAAAAAGCAGTAAATAACCATCCTCTTCTTTTTGTGCTACTGGAAATTTTATAGACCTCAAATGTGCCCACTCCCACCAGTCCTCTCTCTTCTACGCTGAAGAGTCTCGGTCTCTGCCTGGGGGATCAGCAGCTCCCGCAGTGCCTCCCGATGGAAACAACTGCCTTGGACAGATTCAACTATACTGGACATTTGTGTCAAAGTCTGGCTCTTGGCCACTATGGAAGTCCCTAGCCAGGCTGTGATATCATCAGTGTCGGATGGCGTTGAAAGTGAAGGCATTAGGCTGGAGGAAGTGACCTCATGTAGTGGTTTTACTAAAGGCTTTGGCAAAAAAAGAACAAATGTTTGAGGGAAATGTGCTGTTGACACTGAATCGGGCTATTCTGGCTCTGCAGAGGAGAACTGGGATGTCATGGAGAAACAAATGTTTGACCTCAGGGAGTAGAAGAGAGAGAGGGTGAAATTTGAAAATATGAAGTCCAAGGTCATGTTCTTAGAAAGTAGTAAAAATTTCTTGTCTGTGTTGGATGCTTCCAGGATGGGAATGTCTCTGGATAAAGGCTGAGTGCTACTCATGATTCATGGCAGCGGGACAGGGCCAAAGGGAAGGCAAACGTGACATTAAACTGAAAGGTAAGAGGCAAGTCTAACAGGAACATGAAAAAAATCACGTTATTTTAAGAATCATCAGTGAATCCTTGAACTACTATGTAGCCCCCAGCTCATCCCCAGTGAGGAAAGTGTACAGAAAGGAAACACTGTCATGACTGCACAAACAGAAAAAGTCTATCCTACAAAAGAAGACTGGAAGGAGTCGGCTTTTTAGCTTAGCAGCATGATGACTACGGAAGGATATGAATGCTGTGTATAAATACATTAGGAGGATAAATAACATGAAGGAAAAACAACTACTGGCTCTAGGCCAATGTTGGCATGAGAGCAAGTGGCAATAAACTGGTCCCAACTATATTTGGGAAGAAAAGTAAGTGTTTTCTAGCCAAAAGAGGAGCAAAAATGGGAGCTTTTCAGTTAGATGGGACAGACAATCTAGCAGATTTGGCAAATTCATTACTATAAGACGTGGCGCCTCAAAACCAGGGGACAAGGTTTGCAGGACCAGAAAGTGCCTTCTAGTCTTGCACTCCCCTAGTCTTATTTTCACTGTCCTCTACCTGAGGAATGATGGGTTTTGGCAAATGGTATCAATGCACAGCTCCAACAGTTCAAAAATTAGCTGCTACAGTCTTCCTTCTCAATCAAAGCTACTATATCCCTCTTCTCCCTTTACTGAGTATAAAGCAAATGTAAATTGAATTTATTATTGTACAACACAGCTTCTACTTCCTGAATTGTCTGTTATCAAAACATTTACTATCTACCATGAAAAATGCATAATACAAAATTTCTATTTCATTGCAAAGTACTGAAAATATTTTTTTTTCATCTTATGAGACTCTTTGCTGCTGCTAAGGGTAACTTACCTGCAAACAGCCAAAGACAGTTAGGAGAAAACAATCATATAATTTGTATTTAAACATACTATACTGTACATCCCTAGGCAATAAATTATTCTTTCTCAGAGTATTATATCAGAGAGGCTTCTATTAAAAGCCGTACCTACTGATTCCCTCTTCTGACACCGTGTAATTTACCACCGATAAATGTTCATAAACAGTTTGACTGAAAAATCCATAAAGCCATTTCAGCTTTATTTTAAGTTCCATTTAATGTCCCTCAAAAATGATTTCATCAATGTGTTTCCATTAGCTGGTTCTCTGCCCAATAACTTAATTCCACACAATCAGTCAGGAACTTATAAAGCATATGACAGGATCTACCTAAAGTGTTTTGAATCATCATAAAGATTCACTCAAAGAGTGGTTTCGCCCCCCCCCCCTACTGCATAAGGTGTGGGGGCACAAATGTCAAAGACCCCTATATGTGTTCACTTCATGCAAGAACAAAAATCAAGAGTCCTATGGCAAGGGAACATTTACGGTTCAATTTCAGGGTTTGGG